GGCAGGAAAAAATATTTCAATGGCTATAGAAATATGTAAAGGTACACTGTGCATGATATTCTTGACCTAAGATTAATTTTCTTAGGTGTGATTTGGTGTTTGGGTTTTATAAGGGAAGGTCATTATTAGGAGCTGTGGGCTGAAGTATTTAGGGAGGAAGTGTGTACTACTTACTTTCAAATGGTTCCATACACACGAAGAGTCAAAGCAGATGGGGCACAATGTTAGTCACTGAAATCCGGCTGAAGGATGTACTGCTATGCATTGTACTCCGCTTTTAACTTTCCTGTGGGTTTGAACATTTTCAAAATAAAAAGTGAGAAGTAAAAAGAAAAAGGAGGGAGGCAGACAGCTATAGGAAGTATGATAGTAACAAAGCAAGGCTTACCATCTTCCCCAGCTTCCAAACAACTGTGTTCCAAACATGTATATGCAAATCAGTTGCCTGGCACTCTGAATGGGATTTCCCTCCCTCTTATTTATAACTAACTGCCTCTCTGGGAAACTGCAACTTACTGTCAAGAAATACACCCGGCCCCCAACAAAGGAACTGTCACTCCTTGGATAGAAACTCTGTGATTTGGGGGGGACACCAGGAACTTGCTTATCTACCCTCTGAAATCTTTGCTCCTGGGCACCTGGGTGGCTCAGCAGTTAAGTGTCTTCCTTCAGCTCAGGTCATCATGATCCCAGGGTCCTGGGATCTAGATCAAGTCCCACGTCAGGCTCTCTGCTCAGCAAGGATCCTGTTTCTCCCTCGCCCTCTGCCTGCCGCTCTGCCTACTTGTGATCTCTGTCTCTCTCTTTCTGTGTATCAAATAAATAAATAAATAAATAATAAAATCTTTGCTTCTCACATTTCTGATTTGGGAAACTTCAGGAAGTTCCTTTCACAGACAACAGGGCCCAAAACCAAAATTTTCTATTTGAAGTCCTTGTTTACTTTGCAACATGCTGGTGGCTTATAAGTTCTATATTTATAAATTGGTCACAGAGGTAACTACAAGTCAAGCAGATTGTAAATGCTACAGGTTTTGAGGGCTGCAGTAATAAAGGAAATGTTCATGGATGAGTTGACTCTTGTCAGGTCTGTTTTTTTTTTTAAGATTCTATTTATTTAAGAGGGAGAGAATGAGAGAGACAGCATTAGAGAGAGGGTCAGAGGGAGAAGCAGACTCCCCGCCGAGCAGGGAGCCCGACGCAGGACTCGATCCTGGGACTCCAGGACCATGACCTGAGCTGAAGGCAGTCGCTTAACCAACTGAGCCACCCAGGCGCCCCTTAAGTCAGGTCTTAACAGCATTTCTCATAGTGGAATCTGGTCTAGGAATCACGTTAGTACTACACAAAAAGATAGATTCCCCTGGATCAGAATGTCCATATTTAACAAGCGTCCCAGGTGATTCTTGTGCACACAGAAGTTTGAGAACTTGAAGTGAGGAAAGAGAGGTATGTGAAGAGAAGCCTGAAGGGTATTCTGATAGGTAAGGTACCCTGGGCAAAGGTGCAAAGTCAGAAATGAAATTGTGCTTTTAAAGAGCGTAAGGAACCTGACCTTTTTGAAGGGGGAAATTCACATTTGAGATCAGGTGAGATAAAGCTGGTTAGGGAGGGTGGGGCCGCTGCATAGAGGGTTTTGGATATCAGCTCAGGGAGGTTGCCAAGTGTTTGGATACTTGCTAGATAGACAGTTGAAGGAACAAACAATGATGTTTTAGGGAAATCATCCTGGTCAGTGTGTAGGATGAATTGAAGATAAAAGAAACTCGAATCAGGGAGACCAATAAACAGGTTATTGAAGATGATCCAGGTATGAGATAATGAAAGCCTAAACCAAGAAAGGGACACTGAATATGAAGCAGAAAGTGTGGGTGAGAAATGTTTTTGAAAGAAGAATCAGAAGATGTGGTGACTGGCTTTTTTTAAAAGAGGGCTGTAAAACGATGTGTGTAAAAGGAAGTGTTCATAATGCTCTAGGCCTGCAATAGCAAAAAACAAAAATAAATCTAATAATGTGATTTAAAAATGGGCTAAGGATTTGAACAGACATTTCTCCAAAGAAGACATGCAGGCGACCAACAGGTAGATAAAAGAATGTTCAATGTCACTCATCATCAGGGAAATACAAATCAAAACCACAATGTGATATCATTTCACACCTGTCAAGATGGCTATTATAAAAAAAAAAAAAGGCAACTCTCAGCAAGGATGTGGAGAAATTGGAACCCTTGCACACTGTTGGTGGGAATGCAAAATGGTGCAGCCACTCTGGAAAATGGTATGGAAGCTCCTCAAAAAATTAAAAATAGAACTATCATATGATCCAGCAATCCCACTTCTGGGTAATTATGCAAAAGAATTGAAATCAGGATCTCGAAGAGATATTAGCACTACCATGTTCATTACAACTCAATTCACAAATAACCAAGACATAGAAGCAAACTAAATGTCCATTGACAGACGAATAGATGAAGAAAAGTGGTATATGCCTACAGAGGAATATTATTCAGGCTTCTATAAAAATGGAGATTCTGCAGTAAGCAACCACATGAATGAACCTTAAGGACATTATGCTAAGTGGAATGACCAAATCACAGAAAGACAACTGCATGATTCCATTTATATGATATCTGAAGTAGACAAATTTAGGGGTGCCTGGGCGTCCAACTTGGTTTTGGTTCAGGTCATGATCTCAGGTGATGGGATGGAGCCCCCAGTCCATCTCAGTCCGGAGAGCTCAGCAGGGAGTCTGCTTGAGATTCTCTCTCTACTTCTGCCCAACCCCCACCCCCACCCCCGCCGTGTGCGTGCACACGAGTTCAAGCTCTCTCTCTCTCTAAATACATCTTTAAAAAATAAAAATAAAAATATGGGGCACCTGGGTGGCTCAGTTGTTTAAGTGTCTGCCTTCGGCTCAGGTCATGATCTAAGGGTCCTGGGATCAAGTGCTGTATCCGGCTCATAGGGCTCTGTGCTCAGCAGGGAGTCTGCTTCTGCCTCTCACTTTCCCTCTGTGCTCTCTCTCTCAAATAAATAAAATCTTTTTTAAAAATAAAATAGACAAACTTATAGAATCAAAGAGTGGAATAGTGGTTGGCAAAAAATGGGGGAGGGAGGAATTGGAAGTTACTGATCAATGGGCCTAAGCAAGAGGAGTACATTCTAGAGATTGCTGTACGATACAGTACCTCAATTGCACACTTAAACATTTGTATTTTTTGAATTGCATTATGCATTTAAAAATTTGTTAAGAGAGTAGGTCTTTTTTTTAATATTTATTTATTTTTTTTTAAAGATTTTATTTATTTGAGAGAGAGAGAGCAGAGAGGGAAGAGGGTCAGAGGGAGAAGCAGACTCCCCGCCGAGCAGGGAGCCCGATGCGGGACTCGGTCCCGGGACTCCAGGATCATGACCTGAGCCGAAGGCAGTCGCTTAACCAACTGAGCCACCCAGGCGCCCGAGAGTAGGTGTTAGGTTAAATCTTCCTGCCACAGTAAAATAAATTTAAGTCATTTGCAAAACTGTAGTTTAATGATTATTTATGAGCAACAGCCGCATCTAGGAAGATGGTAGCCAGCCTGACCTCCCATACCTGGGTAACAAACATTTTGGGCTAAATACCTTGAGAACCATGCTGATTGTCTTTCCTCGGAGGGTATAAGTTATAGCCTCTCTATCAAGAGACCTGGGCAGAGCTGTGTTTCCCATGGACTTGCTGTTTTCTCTTCTCTTCCTGACAACAGCCCAGAAAACAGAGCTATTTTGCTTGCCAGGAAACTCATGTCCCCTTAACTCTTTAACTAAGGTCAGAAAAGTTATAGGCTGAAAAATTTAAGTCATTTGCAAAACGGTACTTTAATGATTATTTATGAGCAACCCCAGCAACAGATGGAAGAGGACTCCCAGTGTACTCCAGTTGATTTCCAGCTCAAATGATAGACTGTAAATAGTGGAAGTGAGAATGGAAGTGAGAAACTGTCTCGTTTTCTACCTGTACTACTGTGGCCATTATCAAATGATAATAACTGACATTTAATGGCAGGAGTTTTTCTAAGGGTCAGTCTCTTGATCGAGTGTCCCTGAACCTGACTGATAATGGGTCATATGGTAAATAAAAGGGCTAGCCTTCATATTCATGAGATCCCGGGTTTGTCTATCTAATTGAAGAAATAGCAAATAGAGTTTGCTAGGAGCATGAAGGATGAGGCTTGAGCTTCTATTAGCAGAATAATTCATGGAATCTATGGAATAATTTTTAATCTTAGTTCCATAAAATCTTTAAAGATAATGAGAAATCTATCTGGGTAAGGATTTAGGCAGGTGAAATCATGTGGAACAAAGAGCCTCCAAAGGATCTTTCTATTCCAGAATTACTTTAAAATAAAATTCGAACCGTGTAAGTTTGAAAGCCTTGAAACTATGCGTAGATTTTTTATTTTATTTTTTAAGACTTTATTTATTTATTCATGAGAGACAGAGGGAGAGAGAGAGGGGGAGAGAGAGAGAGAGAGAAGCAGAGGGAGAAGCAGGCTCCCAAGGAGCAGGGAGCCCGATGCGGAACTCGATCCCAGAACTCCGGGATTAGGACCTGAGCCGAAGGCAGACGCTTAACCATCTGAGCCACCCAGGCGCCCTCTGCGTAGATTTTTTAAGAATAGTTCATAAACTACATTTCCCAGGAGGCCTCGCGGGCAATTTTCTGCACTCCACTAGGTCTCTTCGCCGCGAGGTAAGCTGGGAAATGTAGTGCTCCAAGCCGCCCCGCACGTGACGCGTGCGGAGGAACGGGGACAGGCGGTCCGGGATCCCGGGAATCCACGTGTGAGCCGCTCTTTCCCCCGAATTTGGTTTGTGCCGGGCGGGGAGGACCCCATCATCTGACCCCGACTGTGAAATGAGCTAGCCCCGGGTTCAGTCACCCGCTGGCACCGCTCCGGGGAAGTCCCGGTGGGCGAGGCACCGCGGCGTCGCGTCCCGTTTCTCGGCAGCGGGGCGGGGTGGGGGAGAAGGTGCAAACAGTCTGGGGGCTCGGAGCTCGCGCCCTGTGCCCCACCCAGGCTGCGGCCGGGCGGGGAGGAAGCGCGTAAAGGTTGAGTGCAAAGTTTCCCTTTCTGCTTTCTCGTCAGAGCAGCCCCAACCGGCGGTGGGCTGCAATGCCGGACTTCAGTTTGTAGGTGCTCCGGAGCCGAAGGGGTTAAAGCAAGCGACTCCCTACCCCCAACCCCGCCGCCTGCTTCACAAGCCCAGGCGGCCAGCCATGGGCGGCCGCGATCACCTGTTCAAAGTGCTGGTGGTGGGGGACGCCGCGGTGGGCAAGACGTCGCTCGTGCAGCGATATTCCCAGGACAGCTTCAGTAAACACTACAAGTCCACGGTGGGAGGTGAGACGTCGCCGCGAGGGCGGGGTGGACCCCCGCGGGTGGGGAGCCGGGGGTTCCGTGGCCTTGGGTCCTTCCTCAGGTCAGGAAGTAGGTGTCTGGGATCTTGGAGGGAGGACTTGCCGGGTGTTTGATTTGCACGTTTCTCTTGGGTTTTCCCCAATTAGGTTCACCCAGTCCGAGCTGACCGCCTGGAAGGAGATTGGGCCAAGGTGTGAAGAGGAGGAATGGGGAAGGGAGGTTGAGGAAATACGCAGTTTTTGCGTTTCTCGGGGGAATTGGGAACTCAGGTCTCCTCCTGCAACCTTCCAAGCGGTCACCCGCAAATCTCTGCGATCAGCCGAGGCCGCTGGGACCCCTCGAGGAGGCCTGGTTAGGTGTCAGCCGGGGCTCTTGGCCTGCCTCTCACAGGTAGCTGATGAAGGAACAGAAAGGTGTTGTCCGGCCTTAAGGATCCTACCTTTGTTTTGGGGATGCCTGAGTGGGAGAGCCCCTGAGCCACATAATCTGATGCTCACCAAGGCTGATGAGCGGTGTGCATTTTTGTCCATGGATTGCTTAAATAAAGGCAGCTAGAAATTATTCAAGGAATCTGACCTATCTTCCCACTCCCCTTTCCCTCAAGCTTGGGAGGGGAAAAAGGAAGGGAACACCAAGAAGTTCATTCATTTCTTTCTAGGGATGGCCTTGGGCTCAACCTCCCCCACCCCCCAGAAGTAGAAATGTCTTTTTGTTAAGGTCTTTAGTTGGGAAGAGCTGGTGAAGGGGGAGAGTTAACAAACATTAAGAGAACTTTTTTTTTAAGGAAAAAAACCCTGCACTAATGTAAATTTTGAAGATGGGTGCTGGTGATGTTGTAGAATTTTTAAAAAAATTAACAAGCATTAACATTGCAATGAAAACATCCTCTTGAGAACATCCCCCAGCATTTAGGGTTTGAAGTTTGAAAAACTATTTCCCCACCATTCTGCCCTCCACTCCTAAATAATATGAGGGCTCTTATTTCATGGGTTTGGTTAAAAGTGTTTCACTAATTAGTTTTTAGCAATTGCCCTAGTTTTCCTTTAGTAAGGAATAATGGCTTTGGCTAATTTTTTTTTTCAGTGTTTATTCTAAATTTCCCCTAGCTTTCATTTCTGTCACAGATGTGGAAAATGTACTTCCAAATCTGGGAAGTTACTCTGTTTCTCCTTCTCAAAAGGTTTTCCCTCTGGCATACTCTTTCAGGCTTAGCTCCTGGAGTCTCAACTTCTACAGATTCGCACACAGCTCTCAAGCACCCTCCATACCGTGTCTTCTTCCTTGGAATCCTCTGGGACCTCTTCCCTTGACCCCATCTGTTACCACCCAAAATCATCCCGACAGCCTTGTGGAGGGTGTAGAATTCCCCCCAGGGTTTTTCTCATTGTACAATTGGATTAGAAACCAACAGTGAAATTGAATGTGGAAGATGCAAAATCCACCACACTTACCTCATTTCCCCCTTTTGCCCTATCATCTCTTCCCCCCTAGAAAACCCCCTAGACCTTCCAGAAACTGTTTAACTTGAGATTAGAAGTTGTTTTCATAATTGCTCCCACCCACCTATCCCCAGCCTTAGAGACAAGCAGTATCAAATACATTAGTTTGTCGAGAGAGTAAAAGCTGAAGACCCCTTCAGAGAGTGGTAATGAATTATCTGTGCCAGAGGCACCTGGAGGCACCTGGCTGCCCCAGTCAGAAGACCATGTGAATCTTGATCTTGGGGTCGTGAGTTCAAGCCCCACGTTGGGGGTAGAGTTCACTTAAAAAAAAAATAATAATAATAATGATAAAATTAGAAATGTTTTAAAAAAGAAAGAATTGTCTGTTCCAGACTTAAAGCGTGCGTGTGGGCTCATCTCAACCCATTGAGAGTTTAAAAATAAATAGATACATAGGATTAGAGTTGTGTGTCTCTGGGGTTATAACTGCATATTTGATCTGAGCTTATTCATGGATTTTTTTAAAAGTAAATTTTATTCAATTGTACATGTATTTTCAGTGGATTTTGCTCTGAAGGTTCTCCAGTGGTCTGACTCAGAGATGGTGCGGCTCCAGCTGTGGGATATTGCAGGTAGGCTGGGAAGATGGGATAAGAACAAGGGAAGAAATTTTGGTTTAATCAGCAAGCTCTCAGAAAAAGTGGGGTAGCAAAACCAGAAGTTGGTTTTTTTTTTAAGATTTTGTTTATTTACTTATTTGAGAGAGAGAGCAAGAGTGGGGAGAGGTGTGGAGGGGCAGAGAGAAGCAGACTCCCCACTGAGCAAGGAGCCTGATGCAGGGCTCGATCCCAGGACCCTGGGATCATGACTTGAGCCGAAGGCAGACGCTTAACTGACTGAGCCACCCAGGCGCCCCAAAACCAGAAGGCTTTTTCCTGGAGCTGGAATGATTGAGTTGTTCAGAGGACACATAAGCTGAGTGGATGTAGAGAGTTTGTAGATATTTTTTGTAGATGTTTTGCCCTGGATAAATGTAGAGCCGTTTGTCCCTGGGTGGAATGGCTGGCAAGGTGATAGATTGTCCAGACCATGGGTGGGTGCTCTCACTGCAGAGGGAGGGTGCTTTTTCTAGCGTTTCAGCTGACCTTGGGGAGAAAGAAGATTCCCCAGAAAATAGAAGCAATAATAATCATAGGTGACTTTTACTATGTGCCAAGCACTTTCCTAAGCATTTGAGATTCAATGACTCGTTAATCCTCATCACAACCTTGTGAGAAAAGCTACTGCTTCTGTCCCCGCTCTACAGATGAGGAGTCTGAAGCACTGAAAGCTTCCCTTGCCCAAAGTCCTACAGATAGTAAACGACAAAGCAGGGATTTGGACTTGGGCGGTCTGGGTGCAGAGTCTGGACTCAGCCACAGTGCATACTGCCCTCCCCCACAAGGAAGGTAGAAAGGGCAGGGTGTCGGAGGGGTTATGATACTGGTTCTCAGTATCACTTTCCCAAGGGCTCCCTGCTTTCTTCCCAGGGCAGGAGCGCTTCACCTCCATGACTCGACTGTACTATCGGGATGCCTCAGCCTGCGTTATTATGTTTGATGTTACCAACGCCACGACCTTCAGCAATAGCCAGAGATGGAAGCAGGACTTGGACAGCAAGCTCACCCTGCCTAATGGAGAGCCTGTGCCCTGCCTGCTCTTGGCCAACAAAGTATGTGGTCAGTCTAGGAAAATGGCCCCTGGCTTCTCCCTGTGGTCAGAGAGTAAGCATGTCTAAAACGCTCTCTGATTCTGGGCATCCATTTCCCCTTCTCAAGTTGGCAAACTCATCTCTACCTTCTTTCAAGGGATGCTGGGACTTTCTTTGGGAAGAATGTTGGCCAGGTTTTAGATGCTGGTGTTCTTAGCCACTGGTGGAAAGGTTTTACAGCCAGAAGTATTTGAGCAGTGTTCCTATTCTCCGGAAGTTTATGGTGTTGCCTTTTTATGTACTCTCTTTGCCAGTGTGACCTGTCCCCTTGGGCAGTGAGCAGAGACCAGGTTGACCGGTTCAGTAAAGAGAATGGTTTCACGGGTTGGACAGAAACATCAGTCAAGGAGAACAAAAATATTAATGAGGCCATGAGGTGAGTAGCTCATGTTATTCTGGGGTTAGGCACACATTCACCCACCTGCTGCTGCCACACCCCTGGGACCTTCTTTTCCCGTTTCTGAGCAAACAAGAGCAGGCTGAGCCACTGGAATGCCAGCTTCTGAAGGTCAGGGATGCTGTCCTTTCTCCTGAGATAATGGGGGGACCGAGGGGCATTTAAACTTCATGGCTTGACTGAATGCCATCTGGTGATAAGACAGACAGTGTCTGCCGTGTCTCCCTTTCTTCCCTCCAGTTTATCAGTCTTTTGTTTGTTTGATTTTTAGAGTCCTCATTGAAAAGATGATGAGCAATTCCAGAGAAGATATGTCTTTATCCACCCAAGGGGACTATATCAATCTACAGACCAAGCCCTCCTCCAGCTGGGCCTGCTGCTAATAGTGTCTGGCTTATTTTCTCTCCTACGTTTAGGAGGTCTTTTCATCTCTTCCCTTCGGATGCCCACCCAGCAATCTTATTAATCTTATTAATCTTATTAAGTACGTTTGGACTGTCTCCTGCCAGTTATCCGGGAAGGAGGACCATCGCCACTAAGGAAAGACCTGGGACTTGTGTGCCTTTCTGCATCTCGCAAATTCCTACTTGTTGCCGGCTCCCGTGGCTCAGTACCTTCTGTATAAGAGAGATCACCTTATCCCTCATTTTGTGATCCCAGAATTTTGTGGGGAGCACTAGAAATCAGCACCTGTATTTTAAGGATCCTAATTGCCACCTGTTTTTGCATTTCTTTTTCCATTTGACGGATGTGGATATCTCAGTCGGATCTGACTTCAGATTTCGAGGAAAATGAGAGCAAAGGGCATTTCCCAAATTCATCATAGGTTATTGCTTTCAGATTCTTTCTGTCTTGGACTTTGAATTTACACCTCTGATTCTGAGATGGGCAAGGAGTGGGGCTGGATATCCATGGGTTCTGGGTCACAGGAGGTAACCCAAAAGTCACTGTATTTTTGAAGCTTCTAAAGTCATAATTGAATTTCCTTGTCTTGGCTTCAGGAATAGTCAAGCTCTTAAACTACCTGTTGTGTGTGATGAGAGCATTTCTTTCCCCAAAGAAACAATTGTCCCATTAGGGTTTTCTAGTATCTCCCTACTGGTGGGTTTCTGGGTTGATGTCTTGATGCCTAATGCTGCAGGGTGACATCACTTGGCTGTGGTGCCCTGAAATAGGTCTGTTCCTTACCGCCCTGGGAGTCTGAATGGAAGAGGGAGAGGTTAACAGAACAAAAGCCTGTGGGGCCACTTGCTTCTGAGCACTTTGGGTGCCTAGCACTTACCAGCCATAGGAAACAAATTTTATGTACAGACCTTTGCCTGAGTGGGGAGAGTAAATAGAGAGAAAATCATTAAGTAATTTAAGTGCTAAATCGGGTAGGGTTTTTCGTATCAAATCACTTCTCGACAGCTTCATTTGTTGAATTCTCACAGGATGGTGATTTATAACCTACCCAAAGTTATGAATATTCTTTGTGAACTCAAAGACCTAGAGTTCTTTGAAAGACACTTATTTTAAATGTGTGTCCTAAGTAAGTGGTTCCCGAATCAACTTATCAGAACCACCTGGGAAGTTTATTAAATTTTTTTTAAAGATTTTATTTATTTATTTGACAGAGAGAGACAAAGCGAGAGAAGGAACCTAAGCAGGGGGAGTGGGAGAGGGAGAAGCAGGCTTCCTGCAGAGCAGGGAGCCTGGTGCGGGGCTCGATCCCAGGACCCTGAAATCATGACCTGAGCCGAAGGCAGATGCTTAACAACTGAGCCACCCAGGCGCCCCTATTAAAATTTTTTAAAATAAAATGTGTATGTTTTAAGATTTCTGGGTCCCAAACTCAAGCCTCCCGATCAAAATTTCCAGGGTTGTGGTGTGGGAATATACGGTTGTTGTTTTTCAAAGGTACCCAGGTCATTTGAACAGCCTGGTTTGGAAAACATTGCTGGAGAATTTGGTAAAGATGCAGAGACCCAGGCATTCCCTGAGTAAATGATCCTGGGTTTCCCTATGCTCTGTTTGCTCTCCAAGTGATTCCACTATACCCCAGACTTCGGAAACTGCTCTCCTAAGCAAATGATTACAGACCAAATATCAGAAAGAGAACAGGAGCCAGGCCTTTAGTGGTTGGTTGGTTTGTCTGCTTTTAACGCCAGTGACTAACTTTTGCACAGTGTTTTAAGACCTTGAAGTTCTCTTTTGTATTACCCTTTTCAAATAGGTTTTTATTACAATGATTCTGAAGATAAGAGTGGAATAGCAAATTCCCTTTATGTGAAAAGAAAACTGATTTTTATTTACTGACTTTAAACCTCTGCAAAGTCACAAATAAAGGCAAAATAAGTCTTGTATTCATGGGAGTTATTGGCTTTTAATGTGAGTTTATTAAAATGCTATTTTATACTGATAATTTAAGAGTGTTAGGGAATTGGAGACTTTATTATTTATCTAATTTTTTTAAAGATTTTATTTCTTTATTTGACAGAGAGCTCAAGCAGGGGGAGTGGCAGGCAGAGGGAGAAGGAGAAGCAGGCTTCCCGCTGAGCAGGGAGGCCAATGTACAACTCGATCCCAGGACCCTGGGATCATGACCTGAGCCAAAGGCAGACGCTTAACTGACTGAGCCACCCAGGTGCCCGTTTTTTAAATACCTTTTTTTTTTTAAAGATTTTATTTATTTATTTATTTGAGAGAGAGAGAGCATGAGAGGGGGGAGAGTCAGAGGGAGAAGCAGACTCCCTGCTGAGCAGGGAGCCCGATGCGGGACTCAATCCCGGCACTCCGGGATCATGACCTGAGCCGAAGGCAGTCGCTTAACCAACTGAGCCACCCAGGCACCCTTAAATACCTTCTTTAAAAATGAAGGTAAATGTTATTCTATCTATTAATTTACTAGTATCAGTTGCCTAATACTAATTCAGTACTTGATACGACATTCCAAATACTGCTTGGAAATGTGACCTTTGTGAAAAATTGAGTATGTTTTTTCCTGTGTGTTGACTCAGGATTTACCTGCCTTTTCAAGCATTGCTAGAGGCTGGCCCTTTTGGATTTTCTCTCGTAAGTGGTGAGCATTATAGGGCTGAAACTAAAGAAGAAATTGAAATATAACTAATTCCTCTTTATGTCCCTATCCATAAAGAAAAGGGAAAACAATTAAAGATTTAAAAAAGGAAAATATTTACATGATTAGAAATACAATTATACAAAAAATAAGTATATCCTGTCATTTGGATGCTACGTCTTGATACAATTGTTTGGAACATGAATATTGTAGCCCTTCCCTAGAGAAGGTTCCATATTTGGGACAAGATGCCCCTCCAGCCACTCAGCTGGTCTTTGGACAAAAAGAAAACAAGCATTTCCTGCAGAGTGTTTTTAAGAGACCCAAGGAAAGCCTGAGAACAGAGCTGTGGGATTGTGACTGCCCTGGCTTTGGACTTTTTTTTTTTTTTAACATTTATTCATTTGAGAGACAGAGCATGAGAGGGGGTGGGGAGAATCCTCAAGCAGACTCCCTGCCGGGCATGGAGACTGATGTGGGGCTTGATCCCAGGACCACAAGATCATGACCTGAGCTGAAATCAAGAGTCGGACGCTCAACCGACTGAGTCACCCAGGCGCCCCTGCCCTGGTTTTGGACTTTGAACAGAATAGCTGAGTGACCAAACAAGCGGAGAAAAAGAGACCACAGGTCAAGGAAGGCCCCTCCACAGTAAGTGATTATTTGCTCTTTTGTTACTACTAATGAGCCAGAATTACTCCCAAGATGATTTCCCGAATTCATTTGCCTTAGCTATTCTAAGGTATGTTTGGGTTCCTCATTATGTCCTATCATCTCCAGGGGTGCCTTGGTGGCTCAGTCAGTGAAGTGTCTGCCTTCAGCTCAGGTCATGATCCCAGAGTCCTGGAATCAAACCCCACATTGGGCTCCCTGCTATGCAGGGAGTCTGCCTCTCCCCGCCCTCATGCTCTCCCTCTGCTAGTGCTCTTTCGTGCTCTCTCAAATAAATAACTAAAATCTTTTTTTTTTTAAGATTTATTTATTTATTTGAGAGAGAGAATGAGATAGAGCATGAGAGGGGGAAGGGTCAGAGGGAGAAGCAGACTCCCTGCCGAGCAGGGAGCCCAATGCAGGACTCGATCCCGGGACTCCAGGATCATGACCTGAGCTGAAGGCAGTCGCCTAACCAACTGAGCCACCCAGGCGCCCAATAACTAATATCTTAAAAAAAAAAAATTTCTCTGTCCTATCATCTCCAGATTTAACTCTTCTTTAAGTGGTTGGTCTACTGTCCAGGCTTTTCCTGTCTCTGTCCATTTGTAAGCAGTAGTCTGCTTTTGACATGATCTAAGGCTATGTATGGTTAGAAGGTGTAAATATCTCCATGGTGTTCTATGAGATCCATTGACAGTTGCCCAAGGAAACAAGCCTCAGTGCCCTTTAACCTCTCCAAGAAGCTTCAACTATGTAAGTGACTCATTTATGAAAGCCAAGTAATCCCCAAGGGTGCAAGTTGGAACAGGTAGGAAGCCCCTAGAAAGTGATGTGTGTTGAAAAGTACTATGTGTATTCTTGCTTCAGGCATAAATACCTGAGACTCGAGAATATATCTACATATGGCCTTCATTGGTAGAAAAACTCTGCATTCTCTCTGGCTTTCAAGCATAATTTGAATCCTCTTGAATTTAATCTGCAGAATTTCAATATATAACGGTATTGCTCTGTATTAGGATTCAGCAGGAAAACACAACTAATAGATATGTACATACGTAAAGGGATTTATTATAAGGAATTGTTTTGTGCGGTTATGGAGACTGGCAAGTCCAACATGTGGACTTGACGTTCCAGTTCGAGTCTCAGGGCCAGTAGGCTGGAGGAGCTGATATTCCAGCTTGAAGGCCATCACCCGGGAGAATTCTCTCTCACTCAGGAGAGGGTCAACCTTTTGTTTTCTTTAAACCCTCAACTGATTGGATGAGGCCCATCCACATTTATGGAGGGTAATCTGCTTTGTTCAGTCTACTGATTTCAGTGTTAATCTCATCCAAAAACACCCTCACAGAAACACCCAAAATAATGTTTGACCAGGTATTTGGGCACTCCATTGCCTTGTCAAATTGAGTATCACCTACACTTCGAAGTACTTCGTTGTGTGATGGTAGTGTTTTGTTTTGTTTAAAGATTTATTTATTTGAGAGAAAGCGTGCAGGGTGGGGGAGGGGTGGAGAGAGAAAATCTTAAACAGACTCCCCGCTGAGTGAGGAGCCCCACACGGGACTCAGTCTCACGACCCTGAGATCATAACCTGAGCCAAAATCCAGAGTCGGATGCTCAACTGACTGAGCCACCCAAGCACCCCATGATGGTAGTGTTATGATACCTTTTCTTCATACTCAAATTTGATTCACACTCAAAGTCTATGTGATTAGGAATTAACTACACAGTAATGAGAATAAAGAGGAAAGAACCAGTAGGAAGAGCAAGGAGATAAGGTAAGCATTTTATGATTGATCATGATGTGAGGAGGGCAGCCCAGTAGCACTGACTGCTAATACCTAATTTGATACAAACTCTTCCCTCAGATTTGTGAGTTGTGTATGCTTCTTACGCTATCTTTGAAATAAGAAGGCAAACAGTTCTTCACATTTTATGTTTGAGGGAACGATGTCTCAAAATTTGAAAGGCAGCTGGTTGAATTTGTAATAAAGTCAAGACATAAC